ACTGGCCACTTTCCTCCGATGCACCGTGCTCAGAGGCAACACGGGACCCCCACACCGCCGCAGGACACAGCTTTGGCCATTCCGAGGGGTCTGTGCGAGACCAGTTTTAGAGCAGGAACCTTGGATAGGGCCTGCGGGGCCATCTGTCCACCCACTACAGCTGAGGACACTGAACCCAGGCCTCAGCCTCCAGAAAGAGGTGGTTTCCTGCTGAGGCTGCAGCCCAGGCCTGTGGGTGACTCTAGCAGGCTGAGTCAGGGTCCAGTCCCTGGCCTCCTCTGGGTGGGCAGTCAGGTAAGCCACCAGCCCGGCGGGAAGGAGGTGCTGGGTATCCAGAAAATACACCTGTGACCCCAGATCAGTATTAGGACTGATGGCCCCCAAATTAAACCTTTTTTTTAAAGATTGATTTTATTTATGCATACAAGAGCTGGGGTGTAGGCCAGAGGTGTGTGGGTGGGGGGTAGAGGATTCACCAGAGACAGAGTGGGGAGCGGGACAGTCAGACTGATGAAATACACTGCTGAGGGGAGCGGCGGGCGAGACAGGAGAGGTCTGCTCACCATGTGGGTAGCTCCCTGGCTGCGGATCAGACTCAGGCTGCAGTGGCTGGCGGTAGCTTGATAGTGCTGAGACTTTAATCCCTGCGCCACCAGGGAGGCCCCCAAATTAAAACTCTGTATCAGTCCTCTTTTCTCATTTCTGAGGCTGTGTTTTCCCCAATCTTACGTAACGTACGACACAGACATGGCTCAAGATGCCATATCCAGGTAGACCGTGGCCCCCCTCCCGGCTCCTCCTGTATGAAGCCTGGAGCTTGATTTTCTCACTGTTAAAACAGGGGGTAGAAAACTTGAAACAGGAGGCCGGAAGGTCTTCTACATCTGGGCCGAGTCGTTTTGCTTCCACTTTGAAGTCAGGGCCGGGAAGAGTGGATTCTCTCCCAAAGGTGTCCCTTTGATAGACACTCACTGGGCTGGGGGGTGTGGGGCGGCCTCTTTGAGCCCCAGTTTCCTCATGTGTGAACTGGGAACAAGAGCCGTGTCCCGGCAGGGGCTCGCGTGGACGGGAGGCACGTGCACCAGTATCCCTGGCGCAGGGTCCAGGTGCTCTGCGGGGAGCGGCGAAGCTTCCAGGCCAAGTGGAACTGAGTTTTGGGAGCCGCTCCCCCAGGCTTGCTCTTTGGTCTGGAGACACAGGCCGAGACCTGGTCAGCCCTTTCGTCCTTCCCTCCACACTGACACTGCCGGCAAGGTGGCAGCTTTTGAGAAAGCTTGCAGGCACCCGGGGGACAGAGCCGCCTGCTTTTCTCTTGGCTCGCCTGTCTGCCTGGACCGTGCGGTAGGAGAGGGAAGGGGCACAGCGCAGGCTGTGCCCTCCACACACGTCGGGGAGACCCCCAGCCAAATCCACCTGGTGTCACAGGAAGGCCAGAGTCCTAGCCCTACCTGTGAGAAAACGGCCTTGCTCTCACCCGTAGCTGTTGTCTGGTACTGTAAGCAAACCAGGGATCTCTGCCTTACAAGGACCCGATTCATTCCTGCCCTTCAGCCGTCGTAAGGGCCGACAGAGTCAGGTGGCCTGGCCGGCCCCAAGGCCTCGATCTGCTGCTAACTTGGCGGTGAGCCTGGGACTGAGCCTCGGTTTCTGCGTCTGTAGAACAGACTTACAGGAGCGCCGCGCTCCGCGAGGAGGCGAGGGCTGACTGGAAAGGCCTGTGAGAGCGCCTTAGGCCTCTGCGCCCCCAGCAGCTGCAGAGAGCCCAGTGCCTGCCGGTGTGCTCGTGTGCTCGCGGGAAGGAGTTACGGTGGATGACCCGCCTTCTCCTTCGGACAGCTCCTCACCACACTACCTGGTGGGAAACAAAGTGCAGTGCACCGGCGGGACCCCGAGCAGGGCTCCCCCCAGTGTCTGCCGGGCAGCATCCCCCGGTGGCAGGCCCCAGCGCCCAGGGGGGCATGGAGAGCCGCTCGCTCCCCGTCAAGACCCCGACGGGTCTCCCTTCGCAGCCTCTGATCTCTGCGCCTGATGGATGGTCCCCCAGGGCGCGGAACCAGGGTTCTGATTCTTCCTCTTTGTTTTCTCCAAGGGCGCTGGGAACAGGTGAAGTGTGTGGCTGGGCAGACTCACCGAAGCCCTGTGGGAAGCAGGACCCGGAGCCGGGCTCGGCCCTCGGCGGCCGACAGCCAGGAATCGGGACTGTTGCCAGATGCACGTGTGGTAAATGACCTGGACCCAACCCGCCCGCTGCCCGGCAGGCCTCCCGCCCTCTCTCTCATCTTCCGTTTCTCACCCTACTCTGGATGGTGTGTGGTTTTTAAAGAAGGGGCTCTCTTTTTAGTTCTCTGGGGTCTGATAGGAACAGACCCGAGGCTTATCTTTGCACATGTTAAAGAAAATAAAAGTGGAAAAAAATCGACTCCAACAGAGCAGGCTGGGCTGATGTGAGCTCTCTGCCCGGTGGGAAGACAGCAGTGTTGGCAGGTTCTGTTTCCAAGCCGCTTCTTCCGGGGACACGCCAAGATGCCGGCGAGGTGGGAGTGAAGAAGTAGGACAGGCCCCGGCCGTCTCCTCCTCTGCCCACTGCCGTTCGCATCTGATCTGCTTTCACGCTCTGAGAAAAGCCATAGGTGTAGTGAGAATACAGGGGTAGGGAGGCCGGAAGCGAGCATTCGCGCAGGACTGAGTTCTAGGCGACCTGGCAGGCTGTTTGAAGAGCGGCCGAGTGTTCTTCGCAGTCTCGTTTTCTCTGTGCCCCTGTCCCAACACGGGAGGCTCTTGTGAACGGCAGTCAGCTCGCAGAACCCTCCTCCTCCATGCTGCCGTGTCCACCGTGACTGCAGTCTACTTTTCGGTAGTGGCTGTTGTAAATAGGTTACGTACGGGGGCGGGGTGCGAGCTGTCCCTGGCCCCGGTGGCTGCCTGAAGAAAGAAGTGCTATCTTTGGAAGGGGCCTTTGAGTCCCCCCAGCCCTGCTCACCTGCAGGTTCTTCATACAAACAATTCCAGGTAGAGCAGAGGGACTAGGTCAGCTTAGGACGCATTAGACAAGTTCAGTGAGAGAGAGATCTGGTCCTGAGCCTCGTGACTGCTAGATGGAAGGCGCCGCCCTTTCCTCCGCAGGAGGGACACACCTTCCTGCATCCTTTTCTTTCTTTGATCTGTGAGAGTAAACAGAAACGCAGAGTTCTCGAACACAGATCCCCCTGCCTTCCTGGGTGCTGAGATGGCATCACCCGTGCAGGGACCAGCACCAGGACGAGGTCCGAAAGGAAGGCAAGCCCCCACCCCCCCGCTCCCCCGGGGACAGCCTCTCAGAGCCGAGTTCTCCTTTTGCTCCACACGGGTGCTCTGGAGGGCCGTAGACGAAGCTGGTGGAATGGAGGCAAACGGACCTGACAGTATCAGTCACCCAACAGCTCTGTCTTAAGGAGAATCATCAGCAAGAAGAGACCCAGCCAGGGGCACAACAGAACAAAGGTTTCTGCTTGCTTTTCTCTCGTCTCCCTTTGGCCTCAGACACCAGGTCGAGCGATCTTCCTGCCTGGCTGGCCAAGACAGTGGTCTGGGGGGCCAGGCTCGCACTCTTGACCACTGGCCACGAGCCCTGCTAGATGCACCCCCCACGCCTCCGTGGAGCCCAACTGCCCGCCCAGTCTCACCATAGACTGAAAAGTTTTAAATCATGTCAACCGCATAATGCTTGCTTCATGTGAGAATTCTTTCAGCAGAATGGATACAAATTTTCCAAACAGTCTTTTCATATCTATGTATTCTATATTAAACGTGCTAAAGTCATGTTTCTGGGGCGTATTCAAGTAGCTGACAAGTAATTATTTAATAATAGTACATTGAGTGCATTGTAATTATTCTTGCTGTAGTCAGGTCATAGTATCCGACAGAAATTTCCTACCAACCTGCTGTATCCAAAGTTTTGTAAAAAGTTGTAGAAGTTGTTGATCTTTTTGATTTTATATTCAAAAAGTCTCTTTTTATAAATATTATTTATTATACAATGTATATACCTTTGAGTTAACTAAAATTATATATTATATAAATATATATATATTTGGAGAAAATCTATTTCATCATGCAGTTTTTTTCTGTTGAGTCATTAAAGAGAAGGTAAACAAACTTCCAGTGGATACCTTGTACAGTGTGTGGGGTTTCCAGGTGAATGCTCAGGAGGGCAAGAGTGATAGGTTCTGAGTGGGGTGGGCTTGGCCTTCACTCTTAAACTAGAGGCCAGAGCTAAGGTCCCTTCCTCTGCTCTCTAAGCAAGGTCACCTGAGACGTGGTAAACTGTAGGTGTCGTTGACTAGAGGACTCTCTTACAGGCACACTTTGTTCTAAATAGATTTCTAACAAAGAATTTCCAGTTTTAGAAATAAAACCACCTGGGCAGTCATTCATTTCATAGATTCTGGCCCTTCGATCGCACATTTTGAGTGTCACAGACATTGAAAGATGTGGCGCAAAGCCAGCTGACCACCGAGCTGGCCAGTAGCTCAGTCCCTTCTTCACCCGCATTTTCAACTCCATTTGTTAGACACGTGGGATTTGCTCTTTTGAAAATGAAACTTGTCAGGAGATGGTTCTTCCCTGCTAGTTTCCAAGAGCTAAGCTGCAGGAGGGGCTGGGTTGGTTGGGAAGACAGAATGATGTGCCCTGGGCTGTCTGGAACATTCCAAGTTTTGGATTGGTTTGGGCAGAAAGAACCAACCAGAGGGCATGCTCTAGGGAAGGGCATTCTCTCCTTGGACTGCCGCTTCAAAAGGTCTCCTCTGAAGCTCATGCGTCACGCCTTCTCCACAGTGAGATGCTGTAACTCAGTTTTATGACAACAGAAAATCCTTTGGTCTTCAGACTTTCCCATAAAATGTCACCTTCGCTTTATCTGGCTCAGCTAAAATGTTTTCTCTCGCTTTCTCCTCATTCACCTTTATTGGGAACAAATCTTATTCATCTCGCTGCAGAGAAAAAAACCATGAAATTAAGGGGACTGCCTTGGGTGGTGAAGACGGCTGCCCAGTGCTCCATCCAGACTCAGCCTCACACAGGGAGTGGCTACTAGAAGTTCCGGAACTTTATTTGGCCATGACAGGTTTTTATTTAGTCCCTGAAAAAGTTACACCACAAAGTGGTTTGTCTCATCCGGGCAAGGGGCTGGACACAGAAAGGGCACAGGTCATCTCTCGCGGCACCCGGGGTTCCTTTCTTTTAACCTACAAGATTGCCAAATATTTAAGTGGTTCTTATTCAGACTTACCCAGGCACTTGTCATCTTTTCGATGATTAATCATGTTCTTTGATTAAAGCGAATGCAGTTTATAGCAGTGCCCGAACATTTAGTTTCTCCCTCAGCATAAATACTAATAAGCACCTAAAAGTAAGAGGAAGTTGATAAAAAGATGCAATAGAAAGAAGAGATGCTATAATGAGAAGCTCTCTGCTGAAGCAGTGTTTTCTGATGACGAAGGGACAGCTCAAGAATGAGGGGATGAGGTACAAATAAAGGCATTAATCCAGCCAATGCACAGCTACTATGCTGCCATGTTTCTTCCAGCTTAACGTAGAACTTTCTAGAAGGCACAATATTATCTTACCATTAATCTTATACTTCCCAAATAGTGAGACAGAGTCAGTTGGGTGGAGACTGCATGCTGGGAAGATTTCAAGCCCGAGTCCTCCTTGCAGATTCTGTCTTCCCTACTTGGGACTCTTGCCGATCGCGGGCGCTATCTCCTGCATCTTAATGCCATGCTGTCCATACAGAACACACCCTCCGCGGGCTCAGCTCCAGGACCCAATCTTGGCACTGCCTGCCAGCTGATGAGAAACTTTAGATCATTTTGCAATGACTTCTGAAATTTACATGCTTTTTTGAACTCTCATCCACACCTTTCCCAGTCACTTCTTTGAAGAGGCTTATGGATCGAGTTGCCAGGCAAGGAAAATTAAGTCTTACTTTTTACCTTGCTTTTTACCTGTGTTTGGGGCTGGGTTGGTTGTTTATAGCTGACTCAATGCTTCAACAAGTCTGTTTACCAGGATTTGATTATTATACACATTTGAATCTACCCCATGACTTGCTGCTGAAACTTAAAGGGGAGGCTGTTCATGGTAATTTTCAAGATGTGAAAAGACATAAAGCCTTAAACCAAAACGTGTTCCATTTTAACCACCACTATATGGTTTTTCCACTATATGGTTTTTTTACATTTAAAAAAAAAAAGTGTTTCAATGAAGATGGACAAATTTAAAAAGACTAAAATGACCTATTTTTAAGAGATTTTAATTACATCTTCTAAACTGCTAATCGTGCATGTATAGATGAGAAACTCAAAGGCAGGAGCCTCCCTGCTGTGTCACCAGGCCATGAGGCATCTCTGTGCTCCTGGCGCAGTGGGGTGTTGCAGGGTGTTGGGATAGACTCCACCTTCTCCAGCCACACAGGGTCCAGATTGGTGTGGGACGGCTCCATGGTGGGGCGGGGTGGGGGCTCACCTTGCTGTCAGAGGAGCTCTGAAGATAGCCTCTCCCACAGAGTCTTGCAGATTTTCTGGGCTGACTTTCCTCCTAACCTGGGCCAACTCTAAGGACCAGGGTGTAGGCAAAGAGATCTGCTAGCTCAGAAACATGTGTAAAAGGCACAGGAGATTCAAACAAACCATGTAAAGAAATACCACTGAGTGTTTCAGTCTCTTGATTTGTACATTTGACAAAAAGGAGTAATTCTAATTGAGAAACATTATTCTTGGGCCTCCATGGCGGTGCAGGGGTTATTTCTCAGCACTATTAAGCTAGTGCCAGCCACTGCGGCATGAGTTCGATTCCCAGCCAGGGAGCTGACCCACATGGCACAGCAGACCTCTTCTGTCTCACCTGCAGCTCCCCTCAGCAGTGTATTTCAGTCAATCCGCCTGTTCTGCTCCCTACTCTGTCTCTGGTGAATCCTCTCTAGCCTACACCCCAGTTCTTCTACACAAAAAATAAAATCTCTCATTCTTCAAAAAGAGAGAGAAACAATATTCTTTTCTGGTTTTCCACGAACTCAATGATCTTGGTACCCCTTAGCTTTTTAATAGGTAAAATTCCTGTGAATTAACTTTTAAAAATATGTCATTGACCTGTTTTTCTTTTTTAAAAAACAATACTTTCTAAATAATTAAACTTTATTTTCAATTAAAATCACCCATCTCCTGGGCCTCCCCAGTGGCGCAGCGGTTGAGCGCTGGGTTGCGGGGCTGCCTCTGCAGCACCGGTTTGATCCCCGGCCACTGGGCGAGGGTCTCGCATGGTGCGCAGACCTCTCCTGCCGCCCGCTGCTCCCCTCAGCAGTGTACTTCGTCATTCTGTCTGCTCTGTTCTCCCCTCTGACTCTGGTGAATTCTCTCACCCTCCCGTGCTTCTGACTGTACCCAGTGCTTGTATAAAAAAAAAAAAAAATTACCCATCTCCTATGCTAGTTAAAACAAGACACTTGAGTCTCCTTTTCACCAATTCATATCAGACATGTATGTTGTTTGGTTCAAAATATTGGTCTAGAGAACGTTTCAAGTATGCATACTCTTTATTGCATTCCTTCATTTGCATTAAACAATATAGTATTTATATTTTTCAATATAGTTTTGGACAAAACAAAGACATTAATCTCACTTAACAAGAGACAGAAGTTAATACAACATCTGCTGCCTTCATGGGAAGAGAAAGGAGGCAAAATTTAAAACAAACGAGGGGGTCCAGACACTGACCACCAGGAATCACCGGATGTCACGATACAATCCACTTTTTAAAAAGCCACAAAGTAAGCTAGGGGTAAAACCCCAAACAGTAGATCAGATGTGCATGGTTAGCAAAATATACAGATAGCAAGATCTGGAGATAATCTGCCCTCTAACCGCAGGGACAAATGTCAGAGCCACACCCACGGGACACTGGCACAAGCCTCACAGGAGACACTGTCCTCGAGTTTCAAGTAGCAATGGGGAGGTGGTGGCATGCTTCAGAGTCCTCATCACCAGGTAGGATGGCCTAGGTGGAGTCCTGTAGCGCAGTTACAAAACAGATTATCCATTCTCTTCCCTCGGGAAGAAACACATCGTGTGGGGGAGGAAATGTCCAATGCTTTGGAATGGATATGAAAGGACTGAGGGGGAGCGCCAGGAAGGGGGTTATTTTTTCTGGAGATAGTGTTTTACTTAGATGTTAGCTAGTACAACTCATTTAAAATGAAGGCTAAATTCTAAAGTCATTTGGGAAACAGAAAAGTGGCGACGCAAATAAGCCTCAGTGTCAAACTAAGGAGCTGGCCGTTGAGAAGTGGACCCTGGTTAGTGCTGAGAGATTTGTAAATGACTTAAATTTTAACAACGCTTTTCCGGTTCGGGGTGTTTGTTTTTCCCATACACACTTTCACAAGTTTTTGACAACATCTACCAAGCAGTACTGATTAGCATGTCGCTTACCACAGCAAACTAAGTTACGTTACAGGGATGTCACAGCCCACACAAGAAAGAATCTGACTGTTAAGAAAGAGCTCCTCCTGATTGCAACTTGGAAACAGCTCTGGAAATGATTGAGAAGAGCAGCTTAAAAATTCAAAACCCAGTTTCTTCAGGCAAAAGTAGCCACTAGTTTTCTGGGAGAACTTTTAACTAAACACTGAATTACCTTTAGTAATTCCTGGCCCTCAGCACAGCTGTCAGGTAAGCCCACACCTCTAGTCACTGATCTACACTCTTCCTTCCAATAGGCCCATGTTGTCTTGCAACAGCATTTTGTTTATTGAGAGTTGGATGGTGGCGGTGGGGGTGATGTGTAGTGTTCACAAATACACTTAGAGGCTGAGAAGAAGGAATCATCTTAGCTTGCACAGAGAGGTAAGCACAGCATTCTAGAGCAAATTGATGCCTTCCACAAAACAGGGGTATCTCAGGAGGCAGAGGGAGGTTACCGCACTACTCATGCAGAGCGAGCGCATGGCGGGAGGGACATTACACCCAGTCCAGTATCTTGAGTACGTCGTGAAGGCCCCAGGCGATCTTCACCTTGGTCGCTTCTCTTGGTCACTATGTGCTTGAAAATAATCCATTTTCATAGTCAAGGGGGCTACTGCAAAAAACCCAAAACACACACACAACACATGGGGGTCTGCAAAAAGCCCTTCATCACTACATAAGAGCTTCTACGTTTTTCACTACGCATTTGCTAGTAGGTGAGCATTTCACAAGGAGGTCACGGCTCCATGCATTGAAAAACAGGTTCCAATAAATATGTACCATTGAGTTCTTCCCTGCATTGTGACAAGCAAGTTTTGTGAAGCAGGACAGGGAGAGCAAACCAACAGTGCAACCAATTCCCTTGCTTGGTCTCTCAGACCTACAACACAGCAAAGAAGTCTAATAAACGGCAAAAAAGTTGTCCAAGAAAGGTTGTGAACTCAAATTTCTAGACACTGTAGAGCGACTCTGAGCCTAGGCGTTGGGGCTGAACAGAGGGTCAGCCTGGCTGACGGCCTCCAGCGTGGTGTGTACTTACGCTCCTTCTTCTCTTAAGAGGGCCAGGAATTTTCTCACACGGTATTCAGCATCCATCTAAAGATGTCAGAAGAAATAAAGATGACGGGTTAATAACTAAGCGCTTACTTCATGCCAAGGAAATGCTTGGTTTCATCCTCCATCTGTCTCTGCTGAGTCACAGAAATGTGCTACCTGCTCCTTGACCAGCATTCTGGTGCGCAGCGAACAAGGTTACGTCACTCGGGAGATGTGCATGGATTTACTAGCATAGAGGAGGGCCATGAGCAAGGTTCCGAGGCCCCGGCTGGTGTTCACAGCGCCTGGGCAGGGCTCCCTGGGCAGTGCTGTGTGAGGAGGCGGAAGGCCGGAGAGGCATAGAGCAGGACAGAATGAGGCCACGCGGTGGCCACTGATGGGGGTCAAACGGCATTGGACTCGTAGGATTGAGGTATAAAGGGAGACCAGACTCGAAGACACCAATGAGACTGGATAAGATGACTAAAAAATAGCCCTTTAACTCTGTGATCAGCAGAGCAGCCTTCCTCAGCCTTCGTCTTCCCTGCACAGCTTCTTTTTTGCAATTAATGAAAAAACTGCGCTGAAATTAAAAATTGAAGAGTGGAGATGCCTTCTCTGACACCATCGCTAGATAATCTGGGTCTCCTGTAACTGAGAGCAGGATCGTGAGTGCAAGGAGCGATGGGGACTATCTGAGTTTTGGTTCTGGTTGTTGTTATTCATTATCCAAATTGATTTCCATTTTATATTCATATTTATACCAGTTGTTTGGTATGTAACTACATTTTATTCTCTGTGGTCCACCAGAAATGTGAAGTTATCTAAAAAATGATCATTAAAAACATCTTTAATTCCTTAAGATGAATTTTTATAGTAAGAAACACACCTAACTTTTCAAAAATGTTCCAGAGCAGGAGTCTGTTTCTCAAGAGGGAACTCCCTGCCCTCCAGGAACAGCTTTCAAACGCTCACTGCAGCTGTGCGTAAATGTGCAATTGGATTCCCCCCTCCAACCACTTTTTTTTTTTTAAAGATTTCTTCTATCTCAGAAAAACATGGAACAGAAGTTTCAAATGTATCAAAGTTAAGAGGTCAGACTACAAAGGACTAAGAAAAAGTGTGAATTGCTAACAAAAGAAACATTTTTCCTCTTTGGGAATAGAATTACATATGAATCAATTGTCAAGTTCTTTAAAAAAAAAAATGGAACTGGCTGGAGCTCAGCTGTAGTCGGTACTTGCAGGTCTTTGCCCATTAAATATATTTAATATGTGTGAGCAACGACTTACTGACTTGCCTGTAGCGATGGAATTAAAAGTCAAGAGAAAGGGAGGAAAAAAGTAATCTAGATAAATGACTTTATTCCCTCAGGTGACATCCAGTCAGAGCAGATCCTCAGCACTGTGCAAGTTTTAACAGAATTGTGTATAGTGAACAGAGAGGTAACATGACTTATATTCTGCTAAACTACATGCCTCTCCACTTAGACTCAGCCTCTCTAAGGCAGATCTAAAGAGAATTCACTCAGCTGCACGAAATCCATTTGACATGAAGGGGTTCAAACTCAGAGGCCTATGAAGTGTCAGTCGCTGAAGATTAGGCCTGAGCGCCCCACTCTCACTTTCTGCCCCACGTACATAAGAGGCATTAACTTGATCACTGACCTGCAGGCATCAAAGGAAGAGGAAGGGTTAGGGATTGGAGAAAAAAACGCACATAGTTTCTTCTATGCAATTATTGAAAAAAAATGAGTTGAAACTAAAAAAAAAAATGAAGAGGAGAAGAGCTGACTATCTGACAGATTTATCTTCTTCCAAGGAAAGAGACAATACGTCTGCCTATGCACCTTACTAAGAATAATCAGATTTACATCTGGGTACAGTCAGAAGCACTTCCAGAGCAGGAAGGACCGAAGACAATACGTCTGGTGAACCTGAATGCAGACCTTTCAACTAAGCCACTAAGAATAATCTTAAGCAAAGTGATTAGTCGGTAACTGGACTGCTCATTAAGGAAAATAAATAAATACATTGGCTTTGGAATGGTCCAGCTGAAAGTGCAAACGATTCAACTGCAGGCTCCTGAAAGCCACGGTTTTATTTTAAGTTACCCAGCACAGATCAGAAAATATTCCCTTTGAGTGACGGGTCCCAGGCCCTACTTGAGATGTCATTGTGAAATGTCAGCTCAGTCTCTGCCACCAACTGCTCACTGAGGGCAGGACTGAGCAGCAATGATTAGAACGCAGCCAGTCTGGGACCCGGGACCTGGGAGAGGTTCAAGTTTACTGAGCAGCCTGCCGTGTGTCCACCTCTATTCAGGGGCTGTGGATTCAATGTGAGGGAGAGCCAAGGTCCCCAAATCGTAGACCTATGATACATTTCTCCTCCAACAATTTTAGGTGTGGAACACAGGCACAGGATGGCACAGAGAGGGCAGACTACCTTCCAACAAGATGAAAGGTAAGTGAGCAGATGTGAGAAAGCCCCAAAGGAGGTTCATCTGTCTTTGTCCTGGCAGTCGCCTGGGGCTCAGTGCCCTATATGATCCTGGATGCTTCGACCCCATAGTAGCTGGAATGGATTTCCAGGAGCCGGCAAGGCCAGGCTATACAAAGCCTCAATCTAATCTGGACAACTCAATGAGCTTGTCTCTTAAAACAATCTCCAGGCTCTTTGGTGTATACCAGTCCTTTCTTGGTCTCCGATGGGCAACACCACTGCCTGCCATTGAAAACCGTCTGTGCAACCTCGGGTAACCCAATGACAACCAGCCCATGGGACACTCGGTACCCTCGTCTCTAAAACGAGGGGGCAGCAGATCAATTGTTCCTTTCTAGTTCTAAGATCTAGTGACTCCCTAAATTAAAACTAGAAGGAACTTTATAATCCTTCTCCTATCTTTGAATTTTAAGAAGTGGGAAAGAGATGCACTAATGAATTACTGTTTGCTCTCCGAAGCAGGCTCCTGATACCAACCTGAGTTCAAAAATAATATAAGAGAATTAGAACTTAAATGCATTAAAACCTTAACAGAAATAGGAAATGAAACCTCTGGGAAGACCCTGAAGCTTCTGGGTCTGTACTGCACCGAGAAGGAAGCATCTTACCTGCAGGGACATCTCGATCAACATCAGCAGCTTCTTGATTCCTATCCAGACCTTCTTCCCTTTGACATGCTGGGCGATGGTGGTACGTTCCTTATCCTTGAAGTTGCCCAAAAGCTACAAAAACAATAAAAGTCATGAAAGCATTTTTATAGCAAGTACATCAGCAACATTAATTCATTCTCACGTTTACCTTTTTTTTTTTTTTTTTTATAATTTTATTTTATTTATTTATTTATTTATTTTTTTATAGAGGCATGTTTTTATTTATTTATTTGTTCGTTCGTTTTGTTTATACATGCACTGGGTGCAGCCAGAGGTGCGGGAGGGTGAGAGAATTCACCAGAGCCAGAGCGGGGAGCAGAGCAGGCAGAGGGACCGAAGTACACTGCTGAGGGGAGCAGCGGGCGGCAGGAGAGGTCTGCGCGCCATGTGGGACCCTCCTCCGGTGGCCGGGGAGCAGCCGGGGATCGAACCGGCGCCGCAGAGGTCGCCGGCAGCTTCGCAACCCAGCGCTCAACCGCTGCGCCACCGGGGAGGCCCTCTCACGTTTACCTTTAAAAGAACCGTGGTAAGGGGCCTCCTTGGTGGCGCAAGAGGTTAAGCACCGTACTACGAAGCAATCCACAGGCTCTGCAGCATGAGTTCGATCCCCGGCCAGCCAGGGAACAACCCACATGGAGCAGCAGACCTCTCTTGACTCGCCCTCTGCTCCCCTCAGCAATGTACTTCGGCCAATCTGCCTGTTCTGTTCCCCACTGTCTCTGGTGAATCCTCTCACCCCCCGCATCTCTGGCCTGTCTGTACCCCAGTTCTTGTATGCATAAATAAATACATCTTTAAAAAAAAAAAAAAAAGAACTGTGATAAGAACTGGTTGAAGCTGACAATACTGTCCCATATTTAAAAATTTAACCTGACCTTGTACTCAGTAGGTACAGTTATCAAAGCAAAGACTGGTGTCCTAAAGCCTCCTCCCCTATGGATCTCTGTTATCATTTAGAGGGATATTTGCTGGGGGGAGAAGCACCAATCCATAATAAATATCAGTTAAAATTTTTAACATTCCTTTCTAGGAACAATCTGTATGTTTCAAAGCAGACTAAATTTAATTCTCTTGCCCAACCTTGGCACAAAAGCCACTTAACTAGATACCCTGGAGACATTTATCATACAGATGATTTTTATTTTGTTGGGAGTATACCCCAATTGTATGGGTCACGGGCATGTGCAGAAGCCCTGACTGTTGCTGCTGAGCAAGTTTGCATATATTGATTACTTTACTCTCCTTCGCCATTCCTGGTTTTTGGTCCCTGTGGCCCACTCATGCTGGGTACAGAGGAACTCATTCCTGGGAGCTTGTACGCTGCCTACACAGAGGACTGGGAAATTAATTCCCTCTCACTTGGATTCACTCTTCTTATTTTAACTCCTGCAAATGACTGAAGGTACATCCCAGGCTCCAAATCCTAGGATGGCCCAGAAACTAAGCACCAGTGCAAAATAACATGGCACCCTCCGCGTTACTTCTAGCCTCAATTCATTCATGTTCAGAATGCAAACCACTGGCGCATCTTCACCTCCAGAGCCTCCAGCAGCTGCTCTCCCGTGGCAATGTTGGGCACGTGGATGGTGGTGCTGAAAGCATTGAGCATCTCCATCTCCTGAAGGACATCTTTGCGGCTCGTGGTCCCGATGATGAGAAGCTTGCGGCCCTGATCACAAGAGGAGACATACTTAGAATGCGTAGGACAGGGCTAATTAGGAAACCAGAGTAACGGACAATATTCCTTTATTTAATTGCTGAAACACAAATGATTAAGCCAAAGAGAAGAAAAAATTCAGAATTTTCCTTATGGAAATCTGAGGGAAAAAAAAGTGATCACTAACATGGTTCAGAAAAAAGAACACTTGCTTCAGAATATGATTCAGAAAGAGGCCGTGGCTCTTCTCATTCCCATCAACACAGTAAATCAGGGAGCTACAGGAGCCAAACACTAAGCACACTGTAGTATCTGCTTGTAATTCATTTCTCAGACAGCCTGGGGGGGTATATGATGGGAACTGGGCAAAAATTGAGATGAATGAATGAAGTCTGTATCACCCACTTAGCAAGGCTTATTATTTATTATGCTTTTTGGAAGAGGGGCATAATAACAATTTATTTCTTGAACTTAACTGTGAAAGGCATGGTGTTAAGAACTTCATATAGCTGTCACATTTAAACTTTTTTTTTTTTTTTTTTTTTTTTGTGGGACCCTCACCGGTCCCCGGGGATCGAACTGGCGCTGCAGAGGCTGCGGGTAGCCTCGCAACCCAACGCTCAACCGCTGCACCCCCAGGGGCCCATATTTAAACATTTTAAATTTTACTTTTAACCCCCCAAATATAGAAGGAATCCTTAAAATTATGTCACTATTCCGGATAGGCCTCCAGAGGTAGCCGTTTTCAACCTTCTTAGCTTTTCTTTCTGTAATTACTTCCTATCTTTGACAATGAACACAACTGCTTTTAGATTTTTGTTTTCAGTTTTACTGACTTCCTAGTATGGCTGATGGAAATTTCACATTCATTTTGCATTTACCACCATCCCCGTGTCCCTATTTTCATCCTTCCAATATAGTGATTTTACAATTCATATTCAGTATTTACTATGATTATATAAACATGACTTATAGCTAAGTCGTGTAGTACACTATAAATTTCCTTTCTTGGGAAACATTTTGTTTTTCTTAGAGTTAATAACTGCATTCTCCCCTACCCCCAGCTCCTTTGCTTAGTTTACCAGGTACCTACCAAAAGTTCCCTCCCAGACAAACACAGCCAGCACTATCCTTTCACTATGTTCAAACTTGTCAGGGAATTTTTAAATTTTTTGTTGTTGTTTTTTTTTTCCTCTTGGAGACATTCCCCTCCTGGAGCCCCTCTGTTCTCAAAGTTTAATCTGAACTGACTGTTCCCTAGGTCTGCTGCTCAGCTGCAATTCTAGAATTTTCCACTCTCCTGTTAAATGCCCTATGTCCTAGCCTCCTTTTTTCTTCATTTATTCCCTCTTCTCTGTAGTGCACATACTTTATAAACTTCCTGTAAAAGTCTGTATGGGAGGCAAAAATTTAAAGGCCTTTATGGAAAAGTCTTTATTCCAACTTTAACAACTATACTGTATTTATACTTGATAGTTTGGCTAGGTATAGAGAACAAGGTTAGAAATAATTTTCCCACAGAATTTTTAAGGCATTGCTCTATGGTGTTGCTGGCTAGAAGGTCAAAGCTATCCTGGTTTTCTGACCGTTTCTAACTTTTTAAAATATAATTTTTAAACAATCTTTTTTTTATCTTTATGTTCTATAATATAAAACTTAAATTATTTACCTCAAGATAAGGCTTTTTTTACTCATTCTGCTGGCATGAGATACGGGTTTCTTCTAAACAGAACTCCAATCATTCAGTTCTAGGAAATATCTTGGATTCTTTGAGGTTTTTTTCCATTCACTTTCTGTTTCCCTGGACTCTAGAATAGTTGGATATAGCTCAACAAAGAATAAACTTCTAATTTCCTTTTCTTTTTATGCTCCTGGTTTTTATTTCTTTCTCTTTCAAATACTTTTTGGATTAGCATCAACTTTACCTTGCGATCTTTATATTAAGCTTTTCTATAAATTTTTAATTTCTAAGAGTTCTTTCTTGTTTCTTAAATGTTTCCTTTTTTATGTTATCCTATTATATTTTATGGAAATAATAACTTAGTTTAGATATCTGAGAGACTTTTAAAAACATTTTCCTCTGTTCTCTGCTCTGTCACTGTTTCCTCTGGCCTCCCCCCATTTGCAAACTGGAGGCTTTCCTTGGTGGCCGGATGTTTGTTGAATGGCTTCATATTAAAAGTTAAACCAATGACTGGTAGTTCTGAGTCTGAGACGACACTACAGGATGATCAGATAGAGTGATTACTGAAGATCTTTAAAGGTCATTATGCATAAGTTTTTCCCAGAGAGGACTCTTCTAATCTCCTTCATGAGAGTCACAAAGCCTAGTTTCCGGCACACTGGGAGATGATGGACAGGGTCTGCGTATCTACTACTGTTTACTGTTTAGATCAGTCTCTTATTTAATGTTCATTATAATACTGAGATTTAAGTACTTGTATTGTCTCTACGTTACTGATGAAGCTGTTGCATCTCACAGATGTAATTTGTTCAACTAAATAACTAAATATGATAGAGCCAGGGATGGAAACTATATCCAGAATCCATGGGAGAAAACACTTTAAAATGTCTCAAATTTGATGGTGGATATGCTATAATATACATGGTTGCTGAGGTGAGAAATTGTACAATTGAAACCCAGATAGTGTTGTAAATTAATGCTACCTCAATTAAAAAGAAAAATAAACTAATGTCACTAGATTTATGATCTACATTCACTCCACAAATAAGTCTTTAATCATTACTCACAAATCTTAGAAACTCAGGAAGTCAAAATAAACGTGGAAATAAAGAAATTAGTAAGTGGAAATGAAAATAAATGCAGGAAAATATTTTTAAAAAATTGAAGCTCAGATACCAAAATAATTTGTATTTTATAAACATTATACTACTGCTGGCAATAAGGCACGCTAGCCTTTCTCAATCTTTCTTACTGTTTTTGTCCACCTATTGTGCCAAGAATGGATAATGCACCAAGATAAACAAAGGTGCACTGAAGATACAAAGTTGAGATGTTCTGGTAGCATTACTGATTGGTATATCAGATGTCTGTGCAAAGATGTATGGGATAGAAGTGCACAGATTAAGGGATAACCATTACTGTTATTCAAGAAATCAACTCACTAAAAATTAAAGACACTAACAGTTTTTCTAGAGAAACATGAAACAGACCTTATACAGACAGATGGACACAAAATAGTTAATTTCAAGCTAACATGGGAAGGTGGAGGTCTTAGGAACAAGATGTCCTGATGGAGGGAAGAGATATGGTCAAGAAAGCTACTTTCCTTGGAGGAGACAATGCTGAACAGAGGCTTAAGGAATGAGTAAGTCCATTGGGGAGATGAGAGGGAAGGACATTCCAAGTCAGAAGGAGCAGAAACACATAAGTCCAAAGGCAACAGAGTGAAAACTAAACTGGGGTGTTGGGTAATTACAAATGCGTAAAGACATATAAACTTCCACTACTGGAGAAAAGTGGTGCTCTAACAAAGAAGTTTTACCACTAAAATCTAGTGGTAACCCTAAGAACAGACCCCTAAGAGCTAATAGATGCCAAAGGCAACACAGACGGGAACATCCCATTGTAATGTAAGGTAACTGGTTTTTTCTTTTATCCTTAGGTTTTCAATATTTCTGAGCCCACAGTTCAAATTCCCTCATCTTGCTCCTCTCTCACGGAGGACAACATTAGCCCTAGGAGAACGGCACCGAACAAGTTTTTTGCTCATTCCAGAAAGTTGGAATTTCCATTTCCCTAGTGAAATTTTCTCTTAGGTTAGTAGTGACTATGCTCATCAGAGTGTTGAAAGACTGGGAAATGTAGAGCAACTTATAATGGAGACGCTAATTTATGTTTTGCTTTTCTGCTTGTTTAACAAGACTGCAAACACTGCAGAGAGGTCACGACCCAGGCAAGTTCAGGCCTTGACTTGTAAACCATCATCTTTAAGAAAACACCGAAAAACATTACCAAATTATTAAATTGTGCCGGGTCATTTTGTATATTAATTAGTGGTAATGCTCATGAGGCAGATTCATCATGGGAAAAAAAAAAAAACAAAACCAGCTCCAAATGTTGTCATATAATAAATCACACTGGAGAACGCTGTGGAGGAAAAGCTGCCAGCAGCATGAAATGAGAAGGCCAGCTTTAAAAAGCAAAGCAGAGCTCAATCTAAGAGGGTCTGGGTGGCTGCTAGTCTTGTCGACAGCGTCAAAGCTTGCCCCTTGATGGAAAGGCAAAAAAGGGAGAGAGATGACCTGGGGTGTGGGGGGAGGGGGCGTGGTGGTGCAAAGTTGTTCCCAGTCTACTCTTTACTGAGATTTGCTAGTCGGGATGAATAAAGAGAAGGCCAAATAAAATGACTATCTGCCAATCGGATTATGATAAACATTGTCCCAAGGTTAAATAAGTATCAGTTAACTAATCTTAGCACCATAAGCAGCAACTCAGGTGAAAACATTACCATGAAAAAGGCAAGGCTCAGTCAGGTGTTGATCCTTCAAAAAAACACTTCTTTACATGATGAAGAATGAGCCAAGTACTAAGCAGCATCTAAGCCTTTTGCCACACAAAGGGCTAACCAGATAATCCACACCCTTTCAAAGGTCCTGCCCATTGATTGGTCCCAATAAACTGATTTGTAACAAAAGTTCATGTAGAAGAAAGCTTTTTTTTAAAAAATAAAAATGCCACCAATATAATACTGCAGTGAAATGGAGGGCTGATTTTAACCTGTGAACAAAAGTGAAGTCAGTTATGCAGTAAAGAAAGACCATTCTTTCCGTATCATTCAGTGCTGAGCAAGTGTAATACACCCTGGGTAAGAAGAATTAACTCAGAACAATTGGGAATCCTGAAATGGATTAAGAAGTGAGTTTAAAAGTGCAACTCAAAACTGCTGAGTGTTGGGGGCTTTAAACTTGATTTTTGGATTGTTAGGATTTGGGTTTTTTGTAAATGAGAGTGGGGGATTTCAGAATATTAAGAATTTATAAACCTTATA